CCCCAAAACCCCAAAACCCCAAAACCCCAAAACCCCAAAACCCCAAAACCCCAAAAATCTGTTAAAAATTGTTAAATTTCTAAAATTTCTTCTTACTTCTGAATTTCTTGGAATGTGAAGGTAGCTTTCCCTTTCGTCCTTGCACCACATTGGGCTGGTCATAGCCCATTATTTCATACGGGGATTTCTTGAGTCTAGATGGGTTGTACAACATATTCTGATCAAAGTTCATAGCTGATGTTGCTGTCAAATTGTGGTTGTGAGGTCCTGAGGAGTAATTTAACCTTTCCTTCCTCTCCTCAACCACACCTTGTTTTCCAGGTTTGTATCTACGAGAAGAGTCATTCTGTACCAAAATCTTTCTATTTTCTGAAGACTCATTTTCAAGGAAAGATTCTCTGGTTCTCCTAAATTTAGAAGCATAGTTGAAAGAATGGGCAATTTTTATTTCACTTTTAGCGCTATGGTTTGCCTCTGAAGCTCTCTTCTGATAAGGATAGCTTCTTTTGTCTTTCATAGATGTATGTTTTGCTAATTTGAGCTTATTCCCTTTCCTAACTTGAGGGGGGATATATTTGTTATTGAAATCTAATTCATCTTCATTAAGAATGCTTCGGATAGGCTCAACATCATCAACTCCTTCGTCGAGTGTGGCTTTATACTTTCCTTTTTCATCTGGTACTCCATTCGGGTTATAAAAATTGTTGTTTGTCATTCGAAGTTTCATATGACTCTTCTTAATCTTAGCCTTTTCCATATTTTCAATCCTCTTGCTTAATATTTGTTTATCTTTACTTAATCGATAAAGAGCATTAATCACAGATTGCTTGTTCTTCACCATGAAGTCGTCAGAATTAGTGAGAAGGACCATGATCTCCTTCTCATCATATTCTTTGACATCTTCTTGTGGCTTCTCTTCAGTTTCTCTTGTGTCTTCAGGATCTTCATCTGTTCTGGTCATTCCTCTGATCTTCTTCATCAATGAGGAGGAATCCTTGCCTGTGATTGTTTCTAAAATTTCAAGTCTTTCCCTTAAATCCTCATTTTCTCTCTGAAGTTGGTAGACGTTTTGGTTGAGTTCATCTACGATTTGGTGGTTTTTAACGATGTCTTCGCTTAGTGACATGTTCCTCTGGAGAACTTCTTTGACAATATTGGCACTATGCATTATTCTTTCGAATGCAGCTTCTTTTGCTTCCTCTATTTTCTTAGACATTTCAGCATTCATTGCAGTGCTCTTTTTCCTTCCTGTCTCTTGTTTCATGATCTCACTCGATTTCAGATTTTTCATTTTAGGTGATGGGTGGTGAGTTGGAAAGTGCTGATCATCTCCTTCATCATAAAACTGGTCTGTATGAGTCCTTATCTTAATACTCTTCTCAGGAGTTGTCAAATTTGATAAAGGAGGCAAGATATCTTCATTTTTGACAGTCAGCTTCGACTCAGACATTGGGTTGAACCCATTAGATGTCAGCAACATCTGGCTCTCTTCCTTAAACTGCTTCTTTATATTTTTTCACTACCGAAGAAAGTTCCTTGTTGACCTTTTACAATGCTCAAATCGAGGATGTGCCGATTAGCTTTGATAAGTTCTTCATTCAAGATTTTGATCTGCTTCTTTAAGCTATCTACTAATTTTGTTTTAGGATCGTCATTTTTGATGGGCCTGTTTGAAATTCATGATGCTCTTGAAGCATAATTTAGAGTACTCTTGTTCTCATCACAGAACTTATCATTTGGTGTGAGACAAGAGATCATGAGAGAATAACTATTTCCTCCCAAACTTTGACGGAGCAGACAAGTTAACTTAGATTCACGGTATGGAATATAATCCTTAGATTTAGCATCAGTCAAAGCTGTAATAACTTGCCTTAATGTAAATAGAGATTTGTTAATATCGATACTTTCTTTAGCCATTTGGTCCTTAACTCCTGTCTGGTTAGCTCTCTCACTCCCTGCTAGATCAACTAATTGCAGTTTGGACACCACCACATTATCAGGCTTGGCAGGGTTTATTCACTCACAAGTGATAGTGAACACACAATGCGACCTCGAGCTAGCATTATTTAGATTATGAGTTGACATAATCTTATTATTGATCCCACTATGATAGTATTTGATGAGCTCCTCTGGACTTTTGCATTCGAAGTTGTATAGGTTTTCAACAGTGAAAATATCTAGCTTATTCCATCTCAGTTTCAGACCAGGACCCTGGAAGGCTGCCTTTTTACTATGGTTTGGATTCAGGAGGTCTAAAATCTTTTCTTGATAAAGCTGCAAGAATGAACAGTATATTCTATAAGAATAACCAGTCTGCTTTGAAGTATCTTCAGCTTGGGAAAATATTGAACTGATTACTCGTGGAACAATTCCAATATTATCACCATCTTGGATTTGTGCTTTGGGACCATTCTTGGAGTTCCCTCCATTAGAATAATTATATCCTTCCATTGTGAAGGTTTTGCCACTGCCAGTCTGCCCATATGCAAAGATAGTTGCATGATAGCCATCAATAACCTGCTTAACATACTCTTGGATGCCTAGCTCATCGTAAACCTCTTGCTGAGTGGCTTCAGAGGAGATGACCTTATCGAAGGTATAGCTCTTATCTACTTTTCCTGAGTGGCTTGCTATATTCAAAATGAGGCTTAATTCTGGTTCTTTAAACTTTATTCTTCTAAAGGAATACCAAGGACCTAATGGGAGATAAGCTAGCAGCCAGGGCTAGTCAAGGGAAGATTAAGGGTCTATAGAGCTTACCTTGTAATGAAATAGTGTTGTTATTTCCTATTCACAGAGAGTAGCTCAGTGGAAGTCTCTCCACGATCTATCTCTGCTTTGAGAAGTGGTCGGACTCGTATAGCTACGTTAACCCTTGTGTTCTTCATTTATATTTCTATAATAAATATAAATTATGGGGTTTTGGGGTTTTGGGGTTTTGGGG